GACTCTAGGAGTGCAGGCAGAGCTGTTGTAACGCAGCTGGGAGGTAGGTATGTTAGGAACAAGTCCACTTGACCCCCTAGGTCCAGCTTCATCAGAAGGGACTCACACCCGACAGTCTCCGGAGCAGGGATCCCATGAGGGACTAATGATTCTCGGATGATAGCTGCCACTCCCCCACCCCTTGTCTGGTGTCGTGGTTGGTGTAGCACCTGAAACCCTTCTGGGCACATTTCTGAGAGGGGCACTCCTCTCTCATGGCCCAGCCAGGTTTCAGTAATACATGCCAGATCTGCCCCCTCATCTAATATTAAGAGGAGGGGAGCTTTATGAATCACAGACCTGGCATTTAGCACCAGCAACTTGAGACCAGGGCCCTGACATCTCTTGCCACCTGGTCCTTGAGTTGAGCTATCAGGGCTGGAATGAGGGATCGCTGTGACGTAGCGAACCCTCCTTCCCCGGTAATGGCCAACCCTGGAGCTCCCGTCATACCTGCCTCTCCCAAACGTAACCGGGATACTCCGTGCCGTCCCAATGCCCGTAGACCCCTTCTCCCCTCCCACGGCCCCTGCTGTCCTCGGCAGGCCATTTACTCCATGCACTCCGGGCCGAGAGGCGGGTTCGGGCCCCCATCCACTTCTGCTTCTGCATTCAGTGGAGGGGACTCCAGGCCACACTCTCGATCCCCTCATATATACCAAACAGCGATTCTCAACATGCATACCCCACTATAACATTAAAAGATAGGTACAATAAAACAGGGCATAAAAGTTAAAATTAATTAAAAAGTGGGATCATTCGCTAGCATACATACAACAAACATTCCACATACAAGACGGTTCGTGCAGGTCTTAATAGTTGTGCAGATGACTCTTAGAGTTCGAAATGGTTGAGAATCAGCGGTGGTCTACAGGTGGTATACAGGAGAATGTCTTGTCTTCCCCCTCTCCTGTAGGCTTGGGAAGGTCCAAAGTCCGGGGTGGCTGAGGCAGATCAAAGAAGGGGTGTGTGTGGTGCAACAGTTGAAGAAACGCTAAGTCCCCACCCGTATTTCCGCCATCTTCCGTCACTCCTTCCGCAGAACAAATGCACCATAAATACACCACGGGACAAACTGTGGGTGTTACCCAACATGTCAGAGGGCTTTGCCACTCGTTGTAAGTGCCCCCACCCGTCCAAAGTCCAAGGCGCCGTCATAAGGTGAATCAAGCGGGCGCTATCCGAGATGGTATTCCAGGGGCAGTGGCGGGTGGCAATGGTTGAAGCAAATGGGGCTGAGGTGGCGAGTCCAGGAGCCCCGAGGTTGCAGTTGGGAGAGGCCAGGTGTTCAGAGGCAAAGATAGAGAAAAGCCAGATGTTAGGCAGGAGAAGCAGGAGGAGGCCCCACAGCAGCGAGGGCAGGCAAAGGAAAAAGCTCGCTAAAAGGGAAAATCTAATCCCGCAGAGAGTGGAGGAAAGAGGAGGCAGCGCTGACGAGGAGGCCGAGCCAAATGGAGAGGGGGGAGGGCGTCCGGAAGGGCCACGGCGGTGGCAAGCACAGCCAGCTGCCCGATTCGCCCAGCCCCGGCAGCAGCACAGATCGATCACCCCCTCTCCGGGGCGACGACAGTCAAACCAGGTCCCCCAAGGCTCACCAAGTTGAGTGGACAGAGTCAGCAGACATCGCAACCGCCAAGAATAGATGGAAAACGCCGTCATCAGCGCGGCACCGCCATCTTCACCGCCGAGCAGCGTAGGTAATCCGAAAGCCGCTGAAGGTTGCATGGTCCGGGGCCGCCCGAGAGTGGCGACCCCCTCAGATATCTGGTCTCCTCGGGTCCCCTGAATTTCAGTCATCCCCAGGGACCTTTTCTGGATGGTTATGCAATTGATTCTAAGAATTTTCCAGCGCTTTTTCGCCGAATTAATGCAGCGTAAAAAAGCCTGGCAGCCATTCCAAACTCGCACATGCGCAGTTTATCAATAAACTGTACACTTCGACCCTCTACAACTGTGATATCTGGCGTGTTGTGCTCCAAATGACGATCCGTTTGTATTTGAAAGTCCCACAAGATCTTTACCTTCTAATTTTCGATAACTTTTTCCACTTTATGTTCCCATGACTTTCTGGATACAGGTAAATCATATTTTTTATATAATGACTAGTGGATTAATTTAGCAATTCGATCATGTCTAGCTTTGTAATCTGTTTGTGCGATTTTGCTGCATTCACATATTAAATGTAAAAGAGCTTCGACTTTGTTATTGCAAAGTCGGCAGTTTGGGTTGTCAGTGGATTTTTGTACCTTCGCTTTCATGGCATTAGTCTGAAGTGCTTGTCCTTGAGCAGCCAGTATTAAACCTTTCGTTTCTTTCTCCTTCCTTCCTTCCTTCCTTCCTTCCTTCCTTCCTTCCTCCTCCTCCTCTTCTTCTTAATTTTATTTGCCACCTATCTCACCATGGCCACTCTGGGCAACACAATATAAAAAATGAAGAAATAAAAAGGAAGATTAAACGAAATGAAAGCAAAATAATAGAATAAAAAAGGAGACTGAAAACAAAGAAAATACATATGGCTAGTAAAAAAAGATGGACATGTGGGGAGCAAAGGGGGGTGGGTGGAATCTGCTGTCAATCTAGCACCACCTCCAGAGCTGAACTCCTCTATTGGGTCCCCATGCCAATTTCCAGAGTCAGATTTTCAGGCTATGGTGGAGGGATAAGAGGTGGTGGCAGATCTTATGTTGTAGGGCAGGATGTTCCAAAAGACGAGTTCTATGGGTGCAAAGGCTTTTCTTCTGGATCCAATAGGAGTTTTCCTTTGTCCTTTGATTGCCAATCTGATGCTAATACAGGTAGTCCTCAAATTACAGCCATTTGTTTAGGAACTATTCAAAGTTGCAACAGCACTAAAGAAAGTGACTTATAACCAGTTCTTGAACTTGCAGCTATTGTAGCATCTCCAGTCATGAAAACAAAAATCAGATGCAAGGCAACTGGCAGGGATTTGCAACGATTGCAGTGTCCCGGGGTCACAGGAATGTATTTCCCACATTCCCAGTTGGCTTTCCACGAGGAAGACGATGGAGAAAGCTGGATTCACTTAACAACCGTCTTTTTGCTGAACAGCTGCAATGATTCACTTAACAATATGGCAAAAAAGGTTATAAAGTGGAGCATGATTCACTAAACAATCTCTTTCATTAGCAATGGGAATTTTGGTTCCAATTTTGGTCCCACGTCAAAGACTATTTAATTCCATTCCTGGAGTTACTGTATGGCAATATGTTTTCTGGTTTCTTCCTTAACTAAAGTGTCCTTCCACCTCCCAAAACAAATGGGGAGCGAAGTAGATTAGGTGTGTGTGCAGTGCTCGTTCTCAGCCCAGGATTTTGGGGGAGCCTCTTGATAGGGACTCTGCACCGGGCTGGTAAACCCAGCAGCAACAGAATTCAACTACAGCAAGAGTCCCCAAACTTGGCAACTTTTAAGACTTGTGGACTTCAACTCCCAGAATTCTCCAGCCAGCTGGGAGTTGAAGTCCACAAGTTTTAAAATTGCCAAGTTTGAAAACCTCTGAATTACAGTATCTGCGGATCCATGTCCACCCTAACTACACTTCCCACAAGCGGCAAGAAAAAAAAAATCTCGTCCTTTGGTGAATCCTCGCGGTAACCTACACTTCCGAGAGAATGGAGACGCAAACGAAGTTGGAACGTCGCACCTGCGCATTAGCTGAAAGTCACGAACAGAGGGAAGGGGGCGGGGCTTGCCGTTCTCCTCAGTCTCGGCCTCGCCGCCATCTTGTTTCGCCGCCACTTTCGCGCTCGCTCCGTTCCCTCACATCCCCGCCCCCTCCCGCTCGTTTCGGTGGGAAGCGCCCGTGCTGCGGCTAAACCACTGGCACTCTCCACTGCAGCCGAAGCGCGACGTGAGCCACGGACTCGGAGCTGGACGGTGAGTTTAAAGCAGGGCGAAGGAAGGCTCCGCGGTGAAGTGGCGGTTGGGCTTCTCTTTCCCTTCCCCCTTCTCCCGTCGCCGCCATTCACCCTGCCCTTCCTACTGATTGGCTGGAATGCCCCCCCGCTGTCGTTCCTGATTGGCCGCCGGCGGGGTAGACGAATGGGCGGAACTGTCGTTAGGCCATTGGGTAAAGGTTGTGGGCGGACCGTGAAGGAAACAAGCCTACAACGGAAAGAGCCTCCCCCCCCGCCCCTCTCTCCCAAGCCCCGAGGCGGACATCGGAAAGGGCGGGGCTTGTGACCATGGCTAATTTACCATAGAGGAGAGCAGAGAGGCCGGCAGGGCTCAGTGGGAGGCGGGGCTTAAGTGGAAGGAACCTGAATTTCTCTTGGGTTCTAAACAGCTAAGAAAATCTGAATTCTGGCTGATCTCAGATGTTGCCCCGAGCCGTTTATCTGTGCTTGTATGGGTATTGCATGAGCCCCAGTGATGTAGTTTATTTTTATGTATTTATTTTATTTAGTTTGTGAAACATGTAAAACAGGGCTGTCCAAACTTAGAAACTTTAAGGCTTGTGGACTTCAGATGAAGTTTACAAGCATGGCTGGCTGGGGAATTCTGAGAGTTGAAGTCCGCAAGTCTTAAAGTTCCTAAGTTTGGACACCCCTGATGTAAAAGCTATCAGACATAAGTATAAACATAAATATGAACACAGGAAATGGGTACGAAGAAATGGGGACAGCGGGACAGGGACAGTAGGCATACTAGTGCATTTATGCACGCCCCCTTACAGACCTTTTAGGAATGGGGTGAAGTCCCCGTAGACAGTTTAAGATTAAAGTTATGGGAGTTCGAGGATGTAACAATAGAGTCAGGTAGTGCATTCCAAGCATTGTGGCTGAAGTCGTATTTTTTGCAATAGCATTTGTAGTGGTTTATGTTAAGTTTGTATCTATTGTTTGCTTGTGGATTATTGAGGTTGAAGCTGAAGTATGCATTGACAGGTAAGACATTGTAGCAGATAATTTTGTGTACTACGTTTAGGTCAGACCATAGTTCTAGGTTGTCCAAGCCCAAAATTTCAAGCCTGGTGGAATAAGGTATTTTGTTGTGAGCAGAGGAGTGGAGGACTCTTCTCCTGAAATATTTCTGGACTCTCTCCATTGAATTAATATCCGATATACAGTGTGGATTCCAGACAGACGATTGGTCTGGCAAAGGTTCTGTATGCTCTAATTTGCAGTACAATAAGAAGCTTCACAAGATTAGGTTGACCACTCTTTCATTCAGTAAACTATGATTCATTTAATCATGGTAAACTTTTTGTGCATGCTCACTACCTGTGTCCTCTTAAGAAGGAGGCAAAGTGTGGGTTTCATCTCTTGGAATTGCATGACTCTCAGGAAGAACTGGCGGTGTTGATTGAACCTCGTATTGATCACCGGTCTTGAAAACCCCTTACTTCCTATAGCTGATTGGGATTAGAAGAAAGGTATATAGAATGCAAAAAAAATAAAATAAAATTTAAATCTCTGTGCTTTGTTGCTCCAGTTTCTGCGGTTACATTCTGATTATTGAAGTAGTTTTTATCACATTTTTCTGTTGGAAAAGCACTGATTATTTCAGAAAATAATGCCAATTGTAACTTGCAATAAGAGGATGCAATGGCTCAGTGGCTAAAACACTGAGCTTGTTGATCAGAAAGGTTGGCACTTCAGAAGTTTGAATCCCTGGTGCTGTGTAACGGAGTGAGCTCCGGTTACTTGTCCCAGCTTCTACCAATCTAGCAGTTCGAAAGCATGTAAAAATTCAAGTAGAAAAAGAGGAACCACCTTTCCTGGGAAGGTAACAGTGTTCTGTGAGCCTTCTGCATTTAGTCATGCTGGCCACATGACCATGAAGATGTCGGACAGTGCTGGCTCTTTGACTTTGAAACAGAGATGAGCACTGCTCCCTAGAGTTAGGAATGACTAACACATATGGGCGAGGGAAACCTTTATCTTTACCTTTTATATAGAATGCACACACACACAAAAGATTTAAACCTGTGTGCTTTGTTGCTCCAGTTTCTGCGGTTACATTCTGATTATTGAAGTAGTTTATATCATGTTTTTCTGTTGGAAAAGTAATGATTATTTCAGAAAATAATGCCAGTTGCAACTGGCAATACTTTGGAACCATGAATTGTGTCTCCAAGGAATTAAAATTATATTTGAAGCCCCAAAGTTTGTTCTTTTCTGCCTAGTTAATTGTGATGTTTGTTGAAGTTGATTGGTTTTGTTGACTTGTTGTGAGCTGTTTACCTTGATTATGTATTATTGTCTGTTGACTTCCATTGCTGTCTCAGTTGTCACTTGTTTAAAGTGTAAACTGTCTAAACTGCAACTATTTAGCAAACCTATATAGTAGAAAAGTGTCATTTAAAGATATCCAAACCTGCTTGGATTTGTTGTATGCCTAGTAGGATACAATGTCCAAAAGATACTGTTTCTTACAAGAAAGTATACAACTTTTCTTAATGGATTTCCGTTGAACAAAGGAAAATCCAAGTCGTAAGGAGAGAGGGTTTAGTGTAGTTATTACAGTGCTGATCTAGAAACTATGAGACCATGAGTTTTAATTGTCCTTTAGACCAGTGTTTTTCAACCTTTTTTGTGCAAAGGCACACTTTTTTCATGAAAAAAATCACGAGGCACACCACCATTAGAAAATGTTAAANTTTTAACATTTTCTAATGGTGGTGTGCCTCGTGATTTTTTTCATGAAAAAAGTGTGCCTTTGCACAAAAAAGGTTGAAAAACACTGGTTTAAGGTTATTCATATGATTCCTGCTGCTGTTTCTTGATACCCTTAATTTCTTTATAAAATAAAAATTTCTCTGTAAAAACTACATTGAAAGTTAATAAATCAAATCTGATAATTTCCTAAATTAAAATGACTGCTTTCTCTAGGTGCCTTCCAAGAATGTGGAATCCTTTGCATCAATGTTGAGGTTCTGTCCTTTAATTCAGATGGGACCGGCCAAAGACAAAATTGTCACAGGAAAAATATTTTACATATTAGAAGATGATCTGTACATTGATTTTGGTGGAAAATTTCATTGTGTTTGCAAGCGACCAGCAGATGGCAAGTAAGTATAGTCATACTATAGATATTTAGTATGCACAAATCTAAATAGTAAGTGTTATAGTGAACTATTTGTATGATGTTATTGTTGAATATCTCTTCAAATTTCCTAAATATTTCCTTTTTAAAAAATATTGACTGAGCAATTTCTTTACAAAGAATAATGAGCTTAAGAGATCATGCATGCGCAAGGCCTCAATGGCAAAAAGGATCTTTTATGTCTTTCTACCTCTTAAATACGGCAACATTTATATAGAATATCATTTTCCTGATGAATTGACATCCAGAAGAACAGAACATCAAATTGATACTCAAAATTGCTGCATTTAGTTTTTGCATTTTGCCTAACCCAGGCCAAATTTTGCATTTTAAAGGGAGAGAAAGGTATGAGGCAGGTCTCCAGAAAGAGGCACAGGAGACAGAAAATAATGGCTGAGAAGATCAAGTGTGGGAGAAGAAGAAAAAAATATTTTGCAGGGGAAGGGGAGAAAAGGATTCCAGAGCTATCTTTAAGGAAGCAGAAGGAAATAGCAATAAAACTTAATATAGCGCTTCATAGTGCTTTATAGCCCTCTCTAAGCAATTTACAGAGTCAGCATATTGCCCCCAACAATCTGGGTCGTCATTTTACCGACGGAAGGATGGAAGGCTGAGTCAACCTTGAGCCTGGTGAGATTTGAACTGCCAAATTGCAGGTAGCCAGCAATTGGCAGAAGTAGCCTGCACTACTGCACTCTAACCACTGCATCACCGCAGCAGAACAGAAACTTGAGGAGGAAGAATCCATAAATAAGAGCCATTTATTAGTTCCTTGTTCAAGTTTGAATCTAGCAAGATGACTATTTATGGTTTGTCTCCCAAGTGAAAAAACTGCCAAAATTTGATGATATTACTCTTCTCTTTTGTGATAGACCAGGTTAGGAAACCTACTTTATTCACTGGAACTCTTATTTAGCTAGCCTACAAGAACAGAGTCTTTAAAGCCTCAGGATTTCCCCCCTTTTCCAGAGGAAGGGAGTGGTCATGTGTGGGTATTCTCCAAGCCTGATTGGTTTAAAGACTGAGAGCAAACTCTTAAATACTGGTGCCTTCCAATCCTAGCCCAGTTTCCTGTCAGTCTACTTGGTCCAAGAACTGTTGAGAATATTCCATGGTAGGATTCTATTTATTCCAGTCTGATCTCATTTGGTTTACTTGGACATTTTAAAAAGTTTTCTAAATTCCTAAATTTTGCAGCTGCAGCCCCAAGGGACAGTTCTCTTCCTCGGGTGGTTGGGGAGGGCCCTGTAGGGCATTCTGCCTCCCCCCCTGCGGGCCCAGAGCCTCAGCCCTATCCCCGGAATTGGGGGGGTTCCAGCTGGAGCGGCAGCTTCGTTGATTTAAACGGACGGGAGAAGTGGCAGCGGCGGCACGAGGTGTACACGAGCCGCTTGCGGAGCCGCCTCTTGATTTGTGCGGCGGCTGTGTTCCTCTTTAAATTCTGCTGCGAGTGTTCCTGGGGGAGGGAGTGTATGCCTAGGGGCCGCGTGGCCTCCCCTGACCTTGGCTGTATCGCGCAGGCTTTTAGACCCTCAGCAGAGCCGCTGGAGTTCAGATCGGCCTCCGCTTCGCAAGGAAAGTTCCGGCGGCCATTTTGGTTTGGCTGCCACATGCACGAGGATCGCGCTCCGGCCTACGACCATTGAGGCCGGTGCAGAGGCTCTACCTTAGCCTAGCAGACGACTGGAACCAGTAGGCCCAGGTCCCGGTGGGGCCTATAGCGGCTTGAGATCCTCCATCCCTTCCTGTTGGATGCGTGAGTAGGGTAATGGAGGAGGGCTCGGAGATCCCCCAGAGCCAGGTGGCAGGCCTGGTGAGGGGTG